TTGACATTTGTAGAAACAACGCTGGTGTGTCGTTTTGAAGTGGAAATGCTTCTTATAAAATATTATAAATAAAATGTCAGTTTAATATAATTCGTAAATTACATTACTTTATAAACCATTTACCCATTGTCGATGTAAAATATGGTATTTGCAAAAGGTTAGATGAAAATCCCAAATAATTTTGCCAACTTAGAAACATAATGTCTTTTCTTCTTCTTGTTAATTTAAATTTATAAGACTGTGAATGAAAAAATAAAATCATTAATAAGAAATCTATATACTAAAATAATTAAAACTCAGCGAATCAAGTAGGGAATTTAAGGAATAACACGATTAATTCAACTTTTATAAATATTTACATTGTATGCTGTCATCTCATAGAAATTCAGAATAATAAGCGAGTCAATAAATCTTGAATATGCGCCAAGTAAATTTTTTTTGATGTGAGAATAATGAAATAACATAGTTAACATAACTAACATCGGGAACTATTATTTTTAAAAAAAAGGATAAATAATTGTTATATATTGAAGCATACTTGTTGTATTCTACAAAAATAAAGCGTCTTTCAAATAACATAATTTGGAGGTAATATAACGTCAACTAACCTGTATCTATCAATGATACTGTGGTAAATGGTAGACTATAATAATCACTTGCATTTAATAAGGTAGGATCATTTGAATAAAATTTAAATTCCATTGAACTTGCTCCATCATTGGGTATTTTAGAAAATAATAATCCAGGAGCAGAAAAACTTCCGTTATAATCCTTATAATCCATATATTGATAAGGAACTAGTTGTGGTTGCATTACATATTGTGTGCAATCATGGATGCCATCTAATATAAGATTAATTTCAAGCGAAAGATAGAAATGAAATTTTTGCTTGCATTTATATCAAAATATAATCAAATACTTACTAGCATTCATAAAGTTACAAGTAATATTCGTTTGGTTTGAAATAACAAATGAAACCTCTGTAAAATCAAGGTTTTAATAACATGATAAATAATTTCATAAACATTAAAAAAATATATCTTACGAGGAACAGCAAAAGAGTTTTCCTCTATCAAGGAGTTCTGAACGACTGGGTTATCATTATAAATGCCCAAAATTATAAACCAAGTGTATCCAATTAAACCGATTAAAAGTAGAGTTGATATG